ATGTGCACTCACGTGCCCAAAATATGCTTGCATTGCAGGCTATACGACAGTTTGAATGTTCGGAAAATTTAGAGAGTTCCTATGGAAAATGTTGCTGGAGAATAATGTCTTGCATTCCAACAATTTTTTTTTTGCATACAAATCTTCTTAATTTTTTAAAAATTCAAACTTGCCATAAAAATGTTATCTCATTCTTAATGCCAGGGGCCTCAATCTTGGCCAATTTGATATTTTCGACATGCTTTTTCCATTTCTGGCATTCTTTCAGTTATAGCCCATAATTTTATGAAAAGTTAGTAGGTCATATGATGGCTTAGCTGCAGAGGGCCTATTTTGTTACACGAAACTCTACTCTCTTGTTTCAGCAGGGTGCATGTGGAGCTACAAATGAAAGCCTCATCTAAATTTCAACTCACTTTTGTCAAGAAAAAAATTACCCCCAGAAATACAGGCCTCTGAAAGTAAGGTCTTGTATTGAAGTTTAAAGCCCAATTCTCACTTGTGACGCAAGCATAAGCATAAACATGAAAAGAAGCTTATGCGCTACTGAGGATGGCTGTGACATAAGCATAAACATTCCTCTTTTGTTTATGCTTATGTTCAGTGACAACATAGCTGAAAGTCTTTTGCTTATGCTTATGCCAGTATGTCCTGAGAAGAATGTGAGGTTTTGATATTCTTATGCTTATGCTTATGTCGTGGCTGTCCTGACCAGCGCATAAGCTTTGTTTAGGCTTATGCTTATGTTTGCATCGCTAGTAATGACTGGGCTTAAGCGTGTGTGGTTTCTCTCTGAACAGATGACAAAGATACTCTCACATTGAAAACAAGTAGTCTCAGACTAATGGACATGATAACAATTTTTAACAAGAAATGCAGAGAAAAGGAAGCCAGTGGTTGAATCACCTTTCATGTTGACAAGGTTGGTCTGTGTTTGAAATAAAAATGTGAGCCTACATCGCAGACATTCCCTTTCCATTTTCCTGGAGGGGAGATCAAGCAAGCAAGTGAACGAGTGTGCCTAGGGTGGGGAGGATTGATTGCCCTACCCCCTCCCCCTTATTTTTTCACACTCACTTGCAGTTTTGTTCCCTTTGCATGCTTTTGGAAACACCTGCTAGGCAGGCTGAAAATGCTTATGTCCAAATTATGTTAGATTTTAACTCTCAAAATAAAAATGTGGTTTTGGTTAACAAATTGCTCTACAAGTGCTCAAAAACCCTCTTTGTTCATTCTGTACAGGTCTATGATTTATCATTTCTGTATGTGACAATAAAGGAGATATGCGATGGGAAAGAATGGCTCTACAACCACATCAAGTTTGCCATGGATGGACATGTCTTTGCTGAATCTTGGACTTTTTTGCAGACAGAAGAAAAGAGTTTGTGAACTAAAGCTGTGTGAAAGCATG